CCTTTTCGAGCAGGTCACTTGACTCTTCTGTCCTTTTTTTCCCTCAGATCATGGAGATGGCAGCTAAAGGGATCAAACCAGTCACCCTGGAGCTGGGTGGCAAATCCCCCCTTATCATCTTTTCGGACTGTTCCCTGGAGAATGCTGTAAACGGAGCCCTCATGGCCAACTTCCTTACACAGGGCGAGGTGTGTGTGTGTCCGTGGGGCAGGAGCCGTCCTCACTAGTGGGGTGGTTTGAGAATTGGGCAGCAGAGCCAGCCCGTGGCCTGGCATAGTGAGGGATGCCCTGAAACTCCCATCTTGCCGCACATTTCTCTGTGCAGTGTTACAAGGGATGTGCTTGGGGAAGCCAGTGTGGGACATCCTGGTAGAGTGTGCCTTAGCATGTCCTTCCCAGACGTGGAGCCTCTCTAAAACCTGGTACCCAGCTCAGAGCAGCCGCTCCTCTGCCCTGGGCTCCAGTCCAGCTCCAGTCTAGCACACAGAGGTCAGAAGACGCTGTGCTGATGTCCCCAGCAGGGGCAGCAGGTTCCAGTGTGGTGTGTTCTATGGGGCTCTGTCTGGCTCAGATTTGGGATCTCTATACATGCTGCGAGGTTTGTGTAACTCTGCTGGCACACTGGCTTGCCAGGGTCATCTCTGGGAACTGGAAAAGCTCCAGCTCCTTTCTGCTGGTGACTTGGTGTGGTTCTGCCAGCTGGTGGCATCGGTACCACTATGTCCAGCAGAGACTGCTCAGTGCAGTTATGAGCAGCAGGATAATCCCGTCTTGTTTGTCCCCAGCGACAAGTTACCCGTTTTAGCAGCTGCGGAGGGGCTTTTCTGAGAGCCTCTGTAGCAAGACCCAAGCAGGAAAGGACCGTGCAGTGCTGTGTGTCATACGCTGAGCAGCCTGTCCTGTATCCCAGGTATGCTGCAATGGCACGCGGGTGTTTGTGGAGAGGAAGATACTGGATGTCTTCACAAAGGAGGTGGTGAAACGGACCCAGAAAATTAAGATTGGAGACCCACTTCTGGAAGACACACGGATGGGAGCCCTCATCAACCGGCCCCACCTGGATCGTGTCCAGGGCTTTATCAAGCAGGCGAAGGAGCAGGTGAGATTGTCCTGAAGTATCTCTTTCTTAGAACAATTTCGGTGGGAAGAGACCTTCGTCCTAGCCCTATCAACAGCACTAAACCATGTCCCTCAGCACAACATCTACCCGTCTCGTAAACACCTCTAGGGATGGCGACTCAACAACCTCCCCTGGGCAGGATGTTCCAGCACCTGACAACCCTTTCATTAGAGAAATTCTTCTTAATAGCCAACCTGAAACTCCCCTGGCACAACTAAAGGCCATTTCCCTTTGTCTTATCGCTCTCCACTAGGGAGAATGTTAGACAAACAGACTGGAATGTTAGATAAACAGACTGGCAGCTGCTTTCCTGCCCTGTGCCTTCCCAGTTAAGCTGCTTTTTCATTGTAGTTGAATTACTTGATAAATGTCTTGCGCCCCTGAGTCTCCAACTCAGTATTGAGGTTGACATGGCTTTTCATATCCTGATGTTGTGAGATACCCAGCATGGCAGTGTATCAAATGGGGTAATCCCTAACATTTGCGCTGGTTCAAAGCTGAGGTGACGTATTGCGCTTATCTTATTTGGGTTCCAGTTTTGTTGGTTGCAGCAAGAGCTTACTAAAGATCAAAGGCCAAATTTACGGGCTGCTGGAAATAATCTTTGTAAAAGCGGTAAGATCAACTCAGGCTTTTTGGGTTTTCCTCCAGGTTTTGGTGTGAAGTGTAAAGATGTTTTAAATGCCAGCGCTAGATATATGGCTACATGTAGCCATCTGGGGGATGGGCTGGAGAATGGGAACTGTGAGTGAACGCCAGGAGGGCTAGACGAGGATTTGGAAACAGGAAGAGGGATGTAGAAGGAGATGTGGGGAAAGAAGGGAGAAATTCTCACCTCTAAAGCAGGGTGTTGGATGGAGGTAGGTATTTCTTGCCAGGTAGAGTGCTAAGGGACTGGTTGACTTGCTAATGAGGGAATTCACGCTGTGTGAAGATGCGAACTTGATGTGGTGCCAGCTGAGGATCGGCTCGTAGTTGCATCCCTTCAACATACGCTGGCTCCTGTAGCATTTGCACCCTGAACTAGTGTTTGGACTTTTAGGATGGGTCTCACTCCCTGACCCTGATCTGTCAGTGATGTTCTGTCAGCAGTCCTGACCTGGAGAGACACCAGGGAGGGCACATCTCGTGGGTCTGATAGGACTGTAAAGCCAGCAGGGAGTATCAGCCAGCCACAGCTGTGGCCGCTGGGCAGGATGCTGCTGGACGTGCCTGCCTCCCCTCTGCCTGGCTCTCTTTCAGGGGGCAGAGGTGCTGTGTGGTGGGGACCTGTACGTGCCAGATGACCCGAAGCTGAAGAATGGCTACTACATGCGACCGTGTGTGTTAGGTATGATCCTTCCGATTCCTGGTCTTCTATGCCGATAGTTACTCAGTTTCTTGTAGAGAAAGCTGTTCTCAGCGTGTGACCTGTTACTGTGCCTGCCTGCAGTGTGGACAAGCAGTCATGAGTGTACTAGAGAGAGCTGAGGCACCCAGGAACTGCATCCAGGGAAATCTCTGCTGTGGGAAGGTCTGGCAGGGCATGTGCAGTCAGTGCCTTTGCTGCCGTGAGATGCAGGATGGGACTGAACTCTTGTGCTAGCCGAGTCGGAGGGGCTGTGCAGTGCTGAGGGCTGGCTCGCAGGCTGGCAGGGTTGCTGAATGCACAGGCTGTGCCACTAGCTCTTCCTCCTGAAGCCTGTGTGCTCTGCCTTGCTTCCAGGGAAGTGCACAGATGACATGACCTGTGTGAAGGAGGAGATCTTTGGGCCTGTTATGTCCATCCTGCCGTTTGACACAGAGGAGGAGGTTGTGGAAAGAGCCAACAACACCAAATTTGGCCTGGCAGGTGGTGTCTTCACCAGGTATGACTGGGTACTGTGACTGGTGTGGAGGCAGTCCAGGGAGGAGAGGAGAAGGGAAAACCTGCAGGAACTTCATGCTCCTCTTGCAGTGCCTGGCATCTGCTCTCAGAAAAGCTGGAGCAAAGGATTGCCAAAAGGGAACTTTGTAAATGGCTGTGCATCTCCTCCCGGTTTTCCCTGAAGGGTTAGATGGGCTCAGCTTCCCTGCAGGCTTTTTCCAACCTGCGCTTGGCCTGCTGCCTGCCTTCCTGCATCCGCAGGAGACGTGCCCCAGGAGCCTGCCGTGCTGCTGAAAGCTTGTGAAGATGGCTCTTGGCCGCTTGCTGTAGTCTGCTTTGCTGGGGTCCTTGTGCTGCCATCTCAAATCAAATGCGGTTTTGAGTGTCCTTGGGAATAGATGCTCCGACCTCTGAGCAGGCAAAGACGGAGTAGAGCAGGTTAGACTCCAAAAACCACTGCAGCCTGTTGGCCTTTCTTTAGCGGGATGTTAGCTGGCAGGGAAAGAAGGAATTGAATGGGAAGGGATCCAGCTGAATTGCCCTTTTCCTGCAGGGATATCCAAAAGGCTCACAGGGTGGTGGCTGCTCTGAAGGCTGGGATGTGCTTCATTAACAACTACAACATGAGCCCTGTGGAGCTGCCTTTTGGAGGATACAAGTCATCAGGTGAGCTCCGTTTGGTATGATTACAGGCTAATTCCAGGGAGGATACATGGCAGTTACAGGGAGCATGAGTGGTACCTGGCACTGCCTGGAGCTGTGTTCTCACTTCTGGCTTCTCCCTGTAGGATTTGGCAGAGAGAACGGACGAGCAGCCATCGAGCACTACACGCAGCTGAAGACTGTCTGTGTGGAGATGGGTGACGTGGAATCTGTGTTTTAGTGGCTCTGGGGCCTACTCAAGGGAGCATCAGCCAGTACTTACCAGTCAGCCAGAGATGTGGATCATTTACACAGCAATAAAGTGCCCTAAAATTGTAAGTGCCTGGGGTGAGGGGAAGCCGTGCTGGAGCAGCGTTTGGCCGCGCTGCACCTGCAGGAGGAGGGAATGTACACAGAGGGCTCAGCCTGTGGGCCTGCTCTGTCCTGCCTGGTGTAAGATGGGAACCTTGTAGTAGGAAGCAGCAACACAGCTTGAGCAGCAGCTCGCGCAGCTATGGAGGGGTTGCCAGAGGCTTGTCAGTGGCAGAGGCCTGGCCCAGGCTGCTTCCCCTGCTGTGTGCCTTGAACTCCATGGCCTTCCACCCTCAGTCAACTTCAGTTTTGGCTTCTTAACAGGTATGACCCTACTAAATGCACGTGTAAGCTCTTGGACACTGATACCCTGTAGCTACAGGCTCTGTTTATTCTCTAACTGCATAACAGCCTTAAGGGTAGGACTGCTTACTCCCTCTCATTCCCTTATAAACACAGCTTTTTCTTTTTTTTTTTTTTTTAATCTGTATTTTGCTTCTAAAGAGGGATGAAATATCGTGGGGGTGGTTAGCTGCTGCTGCCTGGGACAGACATGGCCCTGAAAATTGTCTCCACAGACAGAGTATGGAGCACAACCAGAGTGGTAGCAATCTCCGGTATAGGATAGTGCTGCTGTTCTTAAGCAAAAGCTACTTGACTTCCTTCCTTATACACCTACTGTTCTTTATAAACACAATGAAGCAACAACTTTTAAATGTTTGCCTACAGCTTTTTCTAGCAATTGAATAAATACTGTTCAGAACATCTTATTGCAGAGTGACATGAATTGAGGCGTCCAGAAATGGGGCTGCTGCTATGTGGGTTAAACAGGTGGTGAGATGGCTTTTTGGTAACCAAAATCATAAAAGCTACAACACCTCAGATTTCTGTAGTCCTACGAAACTGGAATCTTTCCAGTATGGTGCAAAACTCCTTAAGAAAATCCTCTATAACTTTACAATTAAAGAACAGAATTGACAGCTTCATTTTATTGAATGAGGAGGGGAAAAAAAAAAAGGAAATGAAATTTCTAGGAAAAAAAAATCCCTTTAGTTTCCCAGGCAACCATCATGGTGGTCTTCACAATGATCTGCATTGTCTCTCACATATCCAGCCGAGGTGCTGGCAAGCTGAATATACTCCTGTGCCCACCAGCCCAAGGAGTGCAAGTGAACCAAAAGCCCCTCTACTTCGTTTTTTTGGATCTGGAAAAAAAAAAGCATTTGTCAGTTCAGCAGCCCATCCTGAAAATAAGTCTTTCAGTAAAGGCTACTCCATCCTGATCATTAAAAGAGGGATCAGGAACTAGAGGAATCTCAGGGCAAAAGAGTAGGCACCACCTTAGGCTGTGTACCTACCCTCAGCCTGCTATTATTAGAGTAGTGCTCCTCCTATCACTAGGAAAAGGGTCCTGCAGAGTTAGCAGCCTTTTCTCTGTGCCCTGACTGGCAGCTTTATGCTGCCTCTTTGATGTGAGCCGGAGGAAAGAGTCCTGAGGCTGCTGTAGCAGAGTTGATTTTCCCACAACCTGCTGTGTGCTTCAGGGTAAAGACCTACCTCCCGTATAGTAGCCGTTGGCGTAAAGGGCTCTCCCAAGGATCCAGGTGATGCCAAGCCCTGTGGCAAGCCGCTGGAGAGAAAAGAGAGGCATTTAAAGGTTTTGGAGACTTGTCGCCTGCCTGTGTTTAGCTGATACAATAGCCCTGCTTCACAGAAATGAGCAGTGACTGTAGCGTGGGCCTTGCCCTTGACTGGACTACTGGGAGTCAGCGTGGGGCAAGCGGGTGCCTGACGCAGCGTGCTAGGAGCAGTTCTGTCCAGGAGGAGTTGCTTTCGTGACGCCTTTGGGGACGGAGCATGTGATGTGCTGCGGAGCTTTGCTGTTCTGCAGCACAACTCTTCCCAACCAAGAAGTGGTTAAGTCATGCAGGCAGCAGGTGCTGGTTCTCCTTTCACCACTGTCCAATTAGTGAACTAGACCAAGTACCAGGATTTTGGGGGCAGCTGTGGCCCCACTCCACTGCCTCCAGCAAGCACACAGGTTTTCCTGTTCCAGGTGTTAAGAACTTCCACCTTTCCTCTTAATTAGAGCTTGCTGCAGTATGGCTCCAGTTTGTCAGATTTGCCTATGCTGCTTCCTTCCTTCTCTGGAAAGAAATATTCAAGAAGGACCCAATTTGTCTATTGCTGACAAAGAGCTGGTTTTTGCCTCTCCCACATGCCTGCCTTCTCATGCGTTGTCTACACATCACTTAAAAATAATCCAGGCTGATTTTGATCCTTTGCGCACCTCCTTTGGTGGAAGTGAGTGGGAAGATCACTGTGTTTCACCGTGTTTCTCATCTATTAATGGTGTGCTTAGGAGAGAGAAAGTGTTCCTGTTTTCCACACAACCAGCTGCTGAGTAGCACAACAGGACCCTGCAGGGCTTGGAAGAACCAGGCAGGGTTTGAGGGACCCTTCCCGCTCATGGACTGAAGGCTGTGAATGCTTTGAGTCATCCCTTAGGGGAAGGAAAGGGGTCTCATAGCTGAAGCAGCAGTAATGAGTTTAATAAATACTTGTGATCTCTCTGTGCAAGAGCTACAGCTGTTTTCCAAATGGGCACAGCTGTGAAGTGTGATGTGGCTAGTGAAGCAGCCTGCTGTCCCCAGAGGGGCTAGCTTGGCCTACCCTCCCCAGATCAGGGAGCAAGAGCCGAGTTCAGCCACGCAGACCTGCACCATAGCACCACTTACCGGGTGGTAGAGTCCACCAGTGGCTAAGAAGAACAGGAAAGCAGGGTAAACTTCCAATCTGAAAATAAAAGCAAGGAGGTTGTATTTGTGCCCAAGTTGCTTACACAGAGGAAACTCCAGAAGCACAGAAGCTGTGAGCATCCCCTGGCAAAGTCTGCAGTGGACCTGACTTAGGAGTCTCCGTGCTTGATGATGTGGCCACAGATGGACGAAAGAAGGAATCTGAGCGTACATGGACTTTTACATCTCTCACTAAGGCCACCCACCCACTGTTTCCGTTTTGTGCCCTAAGCCACTGCTAAGTACTGCCAGCCACCAGCTAACCCAGGAGCAGGTGTTGCTCCCAGCACTCCTCTCGTGCTGTTGCAGCCCGGTTCACAGTAGCTGGGTGGACCTAGGTCCAGGGAGCCTTGGGCAGCACAACAGGTCAGTGAGCCTCTAGACAGGCTCTTCTGGAAACAGGATTTGTAGTGTCTCCATCCATGGAGCCAAAGAGCTGGGCATTTGGGAAGAGGAGGCTGCCTCACAGTCCCATCTCACAGTAATGCTAAGCATTACATGGCCACGTCTTTTCCTCAAGTGTTGAGCCTGAAGCCAAGCAGTTGGCGGCAGTGAGTCTCCAGCCATCGGCCCTGCTCCACAGCTCTGCGTATTTTCCAAGCCTGCATTCATGCACGTTACTCACGTGTTCTGGTGTGCACGCTGGATGCAGTTGAATATCCGCCCGTGTTCAGGGTCTGTGCTGTACATGGTTGGATACTGCCAAAGAAAAATAAACCAGCAGGAGTATAAGAGCAAGTGCCATCTGGGCTTGGGGAGCCTGTTCTCATGCAGTAGGAGTGGGGCCACCCCAACAGGCACCTGGGGCCTGCAGCACGTGCCCAGGGCTGTCCTTACTCCCACTCTTGCTTGTCACTTCCTTAGTGAGGTGAGGAAAGAGCAAAGGGTGCTTTCTACTTGGAGCCAAGTGGCACAGGAGCCTCTGCATGCCATCGCCCTGACTCACTGACTCACGGACAGGACTGGCTGTCTCCACCCAGCCCACAGCCCCTCCTAGCTTGCGGGCTCCTTGACGGAATAGGGAAGGTCACTTTGAAAGACCGCTTGTGATGGGGCTCACATTCTCCCTCTGAGTTTGAGAAACCCTCCTGTCACTTTCGTTCCACTGCTCTTTGTCCCCAACCCTGCACTGGCTGCCTTTGCAGTTTCTTGCTCCTCAGTGTTACCAAGGTAAAAACCTTGTACTTTCACCTCTCAGCTTGATGCCAAGCACCTGGTGTCCCAAACCCAGAGCTCTGTAGTGCTGTGTGTACCAGTCTGGAGAGCCAGAATGGCAGTTCCATCCCTTCTGCATCCCTTTGGTGGGGCAGGTAATGTCAGCGTGTCACCCAAAAATAAGCAAGGTGTCACTCAGCTTGTCAGCAACATCCCCTGCAGACTGGTTCCAACTTTCCGGTTCCCTCAGCCTGAGCACTCACCTCCACATTGTACTTCTTGCGGGCTTTACCCACTTTCACAGCGAGGTACCCGACCAAGATGAAGCTGGCAGCCCCCGTCAGGATGACGTAGCCATACTCCTTGGACAGAACAGCCATCTTGGTGCTGTTGAAGATAGAGAGCTTGTTACTATTTTGAGGCGTGACTGGTGAAGTGGCAGCTTGTTCCATGTGTGTGGAAGAATTGCTGAGCGTGGACCTGAGACCTCCCAGCACAGGGACTGGCTGAAGGAGGAAAGAAACAATGAGTTGAGGAATTTTCACCTCTTGGTGCCTGCTCAGTATTGAGCAGCACAAACCAAGGGCTCTCTGCTCGGCTCCTGTCAAGCAAACCCTAAAATCGCTGAAGTGTTGGTGGGAGGCGGTTCCTGGAGGACCCTAGTGCAGCCTCCGCCTCAGAGCAGGACTACAGCCAGCGGTCGGTCCCATCAGTTCTGGTTGTGGCTGGCCAAGTCCCACGACCTCACTGATACAGGGC